AAAGGCAGAACTCGTGAAAAAATGCCTAACCTTCATCCACACTTCTGGAGTTACTGTAGCATCATTAACATTCGATGGTGCTCCAGTAAATTTCACAATGGCTTCTTGTCTAGGGACAAATCTGAACGATGTAACAAACTTGAAGACTTATTTTCTCCATCCTATAACGGGTCAAAATGTATACATATTCCTAGACCCAAGCCACATGATAAAATTAGTCAGAACGCTTTTAGTTCCATCAAATACTTAGGTGATTCTGAAAACAATCAGATAAGTTGGGATTATTTGGTGAAGTTAGTTGATGTGCAAAATATCGAAGGTTTACATTTAGGCACAAAAATAAGAAATCGTCATCTACAGTGGACGAGAGAAAAAATGAGGGTCAAAATAGCTACACAAACTTTAAGTAGAAGTGTTGCTGATGCTTTGACCTATTTATCCAAAGATTTAAAACTAGCGACGTTTGCTAATGTGGAAGGTACCGTAAAATTTGTTCAAACATTTAACGATATTTTTGATATTTTCAACTCTAGAAACAGGTTTTCAAAGTACTTATTTAAGCGCCCACTTTCTCCAGCTACTGCAGATACATTTTTCAAATTCATGGACGAGGCAGTTCAATATATCCATGGATTGCGACTAGGTACTCTCCCAATAATACATTCTCCAAAAAAAACTGGTTTCTTAGGATTTTTGATTTGCATTCAGAGCTTGAAACAGTTTTATAACTTGTGTATTGTAGAAAAGAAAGTTTTAAAATATATTTTGACAAATAAATTATCACAGGATCATTTAGAGCTTTTTTTTGGAGCTATTCGTAGTAAGGGAGGGTACAACAATAATCCCAGTGCAAGGCAGTTTGAAGCTGCATACAAACGATTGCTGGTGCATACAGAGATATCTGGCCCAGACACAGGAAATGTTGATAACCCAGAGCGTTTGACTATCTTATCTTGTGGCAGTGGATATCATATAACCAGGGCGGACGATGGTGAAGATCTTTTAAATAGCCCAGAATTACTTCAGTTTGAAGAAAAAATAAAAAACGATCTTGCCCTTTACCAGTGCACACCTTTTGCATGGAATCTTACAATTTATACAGAAGATGTTGTTTCATACATTGCAGGGTTTGTGGTGAATTGTTTAAAAAATGTGTTACTTGTATAAATTGTAAGAATTCTTTAGAGGGCGATATTGACATGCCATTGCAAAAAAGAAAAGTTTATGGAGAATTGACAAAAGCCTCAGGACCAGTTATTCAAATTTGCCGCCATGGTGAAAAATACTTTCGTTTCTTCCAAAAGACAACTAATATCTTTAACAAAAATATCAAACATCTCTCGGATATTCTAGTCAATAATACCATACAATCAATATCACCACATATTTTGGGGTATTTTGAACACCACCTTCTTGAAGATGACCCTATTGATGGGCACTGCATATTTCTGATAAAACTGATTTTGAAAAAGTATTTCTCACTCAGAATTCATCACGAAACTGTGAAAAAATCGGACAGTTTAAAAAAAAACAGAATTAGAAGTGTATATACGAAGGCAGTATTATTCAGCCATCAGTAAGATTTTTTTCTTTGTTGTATCTCTCGTAATTTTTTGGATTCTATGATATGATTCTAAGGTTGAGAAGTATTTTTAAATTATGTACATTTTTGTAGACCTGTAGGTGGCAGAAGTTCAAGCTTTGTTTTTCCCAAAATGCATAGCTAATTAGTAGATTTTTAATTTTCTGGCGACACTGATCATGTATGTATAGGTCGACTACATTTCAGCTGTTTCGCATGTAATTGAAATAATTCAAGATTCCGCAATTTCTACCAATACACAGTAAAATGGAAATATCCCGACTGCATGTATTGTTTTTTTTTCGTATTTCATGTTATAAATGGATACATAAGCTATCTTATAAAATTAATTTGCTATACAAATTTCTCAACACGATTACTACAACACTTTAGGTAACACCCCAAGATTGAATGAATTATTTACAATTATGCTTAATGTGTTGATGTATATATTTTTGATTATATTATATGTAATTAGATTTTATATAAAGTTACCTTTATATATATATATTATATATATATATATATATATTATATATATATATATATATATATATATATTATATATATATATATATATATAACTCGCATATTTTCCTTTAATTATGCTATAACTGAGACCTCGTAGATGAATGTCAGACCTTCATTCCATACTGTGATCCGTACGTCAGTATTTACTGATAGATTTCCTTCCGGATCGATGGAATGATTGAATTTCCACATAACCTTATGCAACAATAAAACATGGCATCAATACGCTAGGCTAGACGTTCAATGAATACGACCACATTCCTTGGAAAATACTAACGGATCAGAGTATGAAATGAACGTCTGACATTCGCTTTATAATACTGGCAAAGTAGTACTAATAAGATTTAGAGTGTTTTTTCTTATACTGTTCTTTACTATTATACAAGGAATGGCCTATGATGATTTTGTACCCATTGTTAAATTGGCGAGTGTGAAGTAGCTGCTTGAAGCAACTCTTGTAATTTATGATTTTGTAAAAATGTCAAAATAAAAAGTGTTCCCATTTCACTGTTTGATTTGTTTTAAAAAAATATCTTATTAGAATGGATGGCGATCAAAACTGTTCAATCCAACTCTAATTTTTAAGTAAATATTGGAAACACATTGGTCAAGTATACCGTCTCTAATCTAGAGGCACCTCTGTCAAAATCCATCAAACCGTTCAAGCTGCAGCCTTGGAAATATGAATTTCAAGGTTGATTATTTTATTAATATTCGCCATTTTGTTTCAATGAAATTTTAATATACCGAGTATCACTCATACTGCTAGGACGAATCCGAATACCAAAATCCAACAAGCATTTGAGCCCGTGAAACAGAATTTTGGATATATACATACAAACCAAAAAACATGTGAAACATATTCCTCCTGAGGCAGTCGGGTTAATAAATGTATAAAGCTCATCAGTTTTCAGAGCCTCGTCTGTCGCTGGCGACACTATCATGATTGGTCTGAGTGCATGTGACGTCCGGTTTGATTCATAGTCCTAGTTTTGACCGTTTCTTGTTGTGTTTATGTACACTTATATTTAATTGTACTTCGACGCTATATTTCGGCTTGCATATTCATAATTAGCATAAACAATTTATTTGAGTGACAAATTATTCCATTCCATTATGCATAATACTTTTACATTCATTGAAGTGCCCAAAAACTCCACAAAAATCGATTTCTAGCTATAGCTCTATTACCCCGATTATGATACGCCCATGGCAGTTGACGACTGTCCGCCATCTTCCTCCAGCTGTATAATCAAATTCAAGCGGATAACCAAATGGAAATGGTATTTACCATTTTGGATTGGTATTTACCGATCCGTTCAAGCGAGTGTGGTTATCAGTTTGGTTATAAGATCCGTGACGTCATGAATCAGCTGTTATATGTCATAGTTATCACCGCAAAATTGTGGTATTTACCCAACTCCGGAGTAGTTTTATATTTCTGGTTATTATTTGACATGTGACAAGTTAGAATTTTGCCGGGTATTGGATATTTTATTGTACTTCAGCTTCATTTTTGGGAAACTTGATACAGGCTGACTTCAGTTTTAGCATTATTTGTAATCATCACTGTTGTTGGGGACACTTTAAATCTAGTTCCTACACTTAAAAAAGTATCCTGTATAGCCATATACCACAAGAATATTAAAATATGGCCGTATAAACTCACTGGATGATGTCCACCTGTTTACGGTTTTGTTAATATCTTTTTTCATCGCTAAATCAATAAATATTTTCTTTGACATGCGGAAAAGTTTAGAGAATTGAAAGTTATCATAGCTACAAAGCCATGGTTCTATCAGTAAAAATTTTTTTTGGAAAAAAAACATTCCTCTCATTAATATTATGAAAGTTATCTTTTTTTCAACTCTCCATACCCCGTTGTAGACGAAAAAGTACCGATTATTAAGTGATAATAAAAATAATCAGAAATTATATACGCGCTTTTCTAAAATAAACAACTTGCAACAAACCGCGGTTAAAACCAACGCGTTCAAGCGATTCGAGTAACTGACGTCACCATCCCGTGTGTCAATTTGAACCATATTATAACCGCGGTACATAATACGGAAATTTTGGTTATCCGCTTGGATTTGATTTATATAGTTTTCTGTTGTTTATCTTGTCAACGTTCAGATAGACGTTTTATGAATGAATGTAAATGTCTAGGTCTTTTCATCGTCGTTGCGGCTGATTGATGACGTCACGGATCTTATAACCAAACTGATAACCACACTCGCTTGAACGGATCGGTAAATACCAATCCAAAATGGTAAATACCATTTTCATTTGGTTATCCGCTTGAATTTGATTATGTCTACCAACCAAGAATTGACATAAAGGTGTAGAGATGGGTCAACGAAGATGTTTTGTATAGATGGATGCGACATGGGGAAAGAGAAAGCTACAGAAAGATAAAATTGTTATTTAGCAGTTGACAGTTTTTCGTAAAGATGTCATAAAACACCCCAAAAATACTCAAGGGAGGTAAAAATCCCGTATATTTGGGAGAAAATCCTCCAATAAGGCAACAATGGTTCAAAACTTTCGCTGAGACATCTAGAAGGTCGGAAGAAGCAACTTAATTGGAATACACTGAACACAGTAAATCTAGAATCTTGTCACAAGTCAAAACTACGTCAAGGTTTTACTTACAGTGCAACCAATTTTAGTATTACTAGTTCCAAGCTGAATGCAACATTATTTATTATCTATGGAAGTCTTATTAGAAGTTATCTTGATATAATAATGAATTTTTACTTTTTACAACAAACATATTCCGTATATAGTATGTTTTGTAATATTCCGCTTAGTAGGTGGCACCTCCATTGGTATTCGTGCATTGGTATATTAATTTCACTTTTCACTTGATCCACTACGCGACTACGCTGTGTAGGCGATTGTCGATTCTAGTGTGTTCTTCATCTGTGAATGAAAAATGACGTACGTCATCAACGTCGAGCTCTGTCATTTTATCTCAGGTCATTATTGACATTGACGCTTGTCATTTGATTCTTTGATTGCTTAAAGTTGTAACAGGTGAAATACACTGAAAAAGTGTTAATTTTAAGGATCTTTGAGGTGTTTTAAAATAAAAATGGCGAGCTCAGACGCGATACAAGTCAGTTCTCTACCGCTCCCTCCAATGCAGTATGTGAACCAGTACACGGACGATATGATACGAAGGGGTAGGGCCCCAAAACCTCCACCTCCAATAACAGATACTTATCATATGTTTGGAAACGCTTTTAATACCGAAGAAAGTATAATAAGACCTTTGGAAAGCCAGGTATGTGGTATATACAAGACAACTTCTTAACCAGTAGGCCAATTCAGTTTTGCTGTCTTGCTCATAAGGACTATAGTAGTCATAGACCGGTTCCAAATGTAATACATATATTTTCCTGTGGTCTAGAGTTATCCTACTACTAGTAAAATACAAATCTTCGAGATTGCTGATTCAATTCTAAATATTTCTTGACTTGAACACTGTCAATTTCAGTCTATATAAGCATTGATTAAAATATTTTACCAGAAAATAGCCAACATGTCCAAAAAATTATCTGTGGTAAAATAAGATCCTAAAGCATCACCTATGAGAATTTGTCACAGCTCTGTTTCTTCTGTCTGTTCTAATTATAAATCTATACCTATACAAAAACTAAAATGAATCATTCACATATTTTAAATACTGTATGGTACCAGCCAAATTACAACCTGTTTCAAGTTTTGAAAATCCCTGTACTTTTCATCACTTTTAAATGAGTGCACATATAAAATGATGTTGTATTGGTTAGGTCAACTTATGCTAAGGTTGTAAAACATTCAGAGCTCTTGTACTGTATGTATGATCATGCACGTTCAAATATCTAACAAGCCTTTACTGTCGTCAAACCCATAAACTTAAATATGCCTCTACATATTTCATTAAAAATAATCTAAGACCACCCCTTACAATTGGTGAAGAGGTGCAAAAATCAGGAGCCTTTAGAGTAACTTGAACATCATCGCAATATTAGCAACAGACAGTATGGTTTCCAGGACTAGCAATCCATGGGGATCCATGGCCACCTTCTAGATTGCCTCATGCAACTGTGAACTAACCTCATCCAGTCATATGGTGAGGCCATGTTGTTGCTCTTGATATCACAAAAGCATTTGATCAGCTGTGGCATGCTGCCCTCTTATGTGAACTTCCCTCCTACGACCTCCCAGAAAAGCTCTGCAGATGGTTGGCTGACTTCCTCTCTGGCCGCAAGATGCCCATCATGATTGATGGGTTCTCCTCTTCATCCCACAATGTCAATGTGGGTGTTCCCCAGTGATCCATTCTAACTATGACATTGTTCCTCTTGCATATTAATGACCTTCTTTCCTGTATGATCATCTGATCCACAGATTTGCTGATAACAGCACTCTACATGCTGGAATTCAGGTAGTCATATCAATCTCTGTTGGTGAGCTGGAGAAAAAAAGACTAGCAGTGACTTTCTATCTGAGGAGAGACCTGGAGGTTAACACTGCTTGGAGATGCAACAACCTGGTACATCCGGTTTCGATGGACAGCCGAGTTCTACTAGAGCCGTTCATTTCGGCTGATCGGGATCCAAATCATCGGCGACTTGACCTGTACCAGATGATCTGTACAACGCCCAGATAAGGCTTAGCCTTGAGTACTGCTCACATGTTTGGGGTGCTGTCGCCCTAGTACGTTATCCATGCCCAATGCTCAGTCGACTGGCCGATGACTCTTTTGTTTCGGACAGTCTCGGACCATTTCGCACCAACGGCCGTCGCCGATCTGGCTGTCTGCTACCTTCTTTCATGTATGATCAATCTGATGCTTAGCTGATGACAACACTCTACATGCAGGAGTTCAGAGTTCCAAGCCAATTTCTGTCGGTGACTGGGAGATCTGGAGGTTATCACTGCTTGGGAACTCAACATTCTGGTACAGTTTAGTGCTTCCATAACACAGTACTTTACCTTGACTAGAAGCGCCCTAGCGTTCATCTGGTTTTGATGGTTGGCAGAGTTCTACCAAAGAGCCATTCATTTTGGATAGTTCTACCACAGAGCCGTTCATTTTCTTAGGGCTAAGAAGTACTTTTCTCCACATAGCCTACTCACTCTCAAGTCTCAGATAAGACCTAGTCTCGAATGCTGCTCATATGACTGAGGTGCTATTGTCCTGACTACATCATCCATGATTGATGCTGTTCAGAAGAACACTGTCCGACTGCATGCCAGACAGACCCGCTTGACTTCTCCTTCCATACTAACCATATTGATCTTCGTGTATCCAGAACTGCTCCTTACAACCGCTCCTTAGGTGCTAGGGTATCGAGGTTGTGGAACAAGCTACCTGAGTAAGCTTTTCTCAGTACTACTAACCTTAGGGAGTTCAAAAATCCAATTAACAAATTTTCTTTAAGGTCCTCATAGCAGTCAAGGTGCCCCTGGTTCCTGCCTGCGCTGCTGCTTTGTATAAAAAGATGTATGATTGATCTTATGCTCCTTTTTTAAATAACAATTTTCCAATTCTGGGCTGCCTCCAAACAGTTTTATTCCATAATCTGAAATTGAGTTGCACAGTATACAATTTTAGTCATTTTGGATGTATATAACCAGATTACACCCTTATTCCAAGGGTGATACCACTCATTTGCAATGCAGTTTTATTTATGTTTGGAGTTCAACAGAGAAATTAATCTAAATGTATTCCTAACATTTTAGTTTGCTGACTCGGATGTTACTATCAGTATGTGTGATACTTTGTGTGATATCAACCTGGGATCGCTTTTGGCTAAATATTATTTATTTTTCTATTTCCCATCTACAAACTTACAAATGTATTTAAATGTAATAAGAGCTCTCTGGAAATCTGAGATAAAATATATAAAAAAATAGTATAGAATTATAATGACATCAACGTAATGTGTTGTTTAGAAACACAGTCTTGATTTGTCCTACCAATTTACAAAAAATATCTATATCACCCCATTGCATAAAAATGTTACATTCATTCATCAACCCATTTATAGGAGAGCTACTTAACTGTTGACACTGGACACTGTTTCATGTTATTCTTAGATTAACTTTAGTAACTAAAAATAATACATATTTAATTAGATCACTTTTCTCATACTTTAAGTTGTTAATGACATTGTAAAGGAATAAATCATCATTCAAACTTCACCTATCACTTAATTTGACCATATTCATTTTTTAGAATACAAATATCTGGGAAATATCTTTTGCACTGTTTCAATCATCTTAATATGGTTCGTTGATTGTGGACACCAAATAGTTGAAGCATATTCTAAATGAGGTCTCACTAGATTGTTGTACAAAGTTGTTATCGTATTTATATCCTTGAAATGTCTTGTATTCCTAATTATGGACCCGAGAAGTTTATAAGATTTATTTTCAATATTTTCATAGTACTGGCCAAATTTTAAGTTTGTTTGGTGGCAGACACCAAGATCCTTGCATTTGATTTCTCTACCTAGCTGTACATTTTTTGTGTGTAAAATTTATGTATCATTTTTTACATGTAAAAGATAAATTAGTCATGTCCTTGTTGAGTACAAGTTTATTTGTTGCAAACCGTTTTCCTCATTGATTTGCATTATGCTCCAAACCAGTGTTTTTTGACGCTAATGAGTATGCTGGTGTCATAAGCATAATTAATTATAGTAAAACCATATCTCTTAATGCCATATATGACAAATAATATGGGACCTAACAAACTGCCCTGTGGTACAACCACCTCAGCATAGATGAAATCTGACTTGATGATGGTATTATTTTTTCATCTCTACATGTTGCTTCCTGTTTGTAAGATAGGATTTTACCCAGTACAGTGTATTCACCCTCATTCGATATCTATCCAATTCGTCAAGTACAATAGTATGATATGATTTAACCAGTTTTATGCTTTAGAAAGGTCATATTATATCACTACTGACATACTTCACAGGGAATCAAGAGGCTCTACCCCCTCCACTTTGACAGACGCAGGGAACTAAAAAAGTTGAACCAGTCCTTACTTGCCAATTTTCTTGATTTACTGGACCTGCTTGTCAATTGTCCAGAATCACCTAAACGAGCAGAGAAGGTAGAAGACCTCAGCCTACTGTTTATACATATACATCACCTTTTGAATGAGTTCAGGCCTCACCAAGCTAGGGAAACTCTCAGGGTGATGATGGATCTCCAAAAAAGACAGAGGATAGAGACTGCTAACAGGTAAAGCTATTGAGCACCATATCATAGATGAATGATACAAAAAGAGTGTTTAATGTAATCTATTGATTTTTACCATAGAATGTGATTTATTGAGTATGTAGCCTTGATGTTAGTAATTATATAAATATATTAACTGAAAACCAAATACCACTGGCGTCGTAATTTGAACGAGAGAGATGCACGAGAAGCGTGCAATACGTGTGTTATAAAGAGATTGAAGCACCTTGTTGCCTAGCAGCCCTAGTGACGAGGCCCTGGACGCTATCGGCGACTCTTTCTAACATGCAGTAGCTTGTGGTTTTCTGCAGCATCTATCTCCATATTGCTAAGTTAATTTTCAACTTCAAAATTTATTTTACATTTTTAGTAAATCAGTTTTCAACATAGTAAGTTCATTTATTGGGAAAACCTAACATGGGAATGGATAAGTTAGCAGGCACGCTAAAAAAAGGAACAAGCATAAACTAGAGGACATTACTCTCGGCTCTTGTATACCTAAAGTGTCAGTGTTGATAAATGCTTCTGCCTTTTTATTAAGATTCAGCATGCATTATATTATCTTAGTTTTCGAATAAACTGAACTCGTTTTACTGAAGTTCTGTGAAGACTGGTTAAGATTAATGGATATGATTTAAAAGCAACATAAGCAAAAGTTAACCTGGACGGATGTTCATCAATCTCGCATGCCACATATTCTCGAATGTGACACAGAAATTTTATTTTTGTGATTATTGTCATTGTTTTGTCAGTGTGCTGCAATGCCACGTTTGTTATTTGATTTCAAGACAGATGTTGGAAAATGGTTGTCATTGTCAATAATGAAGGAAACAGTAGGAACTTCAAAGGAACTCATATTGCTACTTTGTCATCTGCAGTTTTGTTGAACGGTAAAAAAATCTCGAACACATCATTCATTATTGCATGGTCATGGCTTCGCGAAATTTTTCGAATGAAAACTGTGGATTGCGATATTCAGGAAGGTTCTCTATGACATTTTAGCTTGTATGTGGCATTGCCCATTCGACATTCGATAACACCTCCCCTAAATAGTAAATAATCTGCTATCTATGTCATATGATTTAAATAGTCACGACCCACATTTAGAAAAACTTTATGTAGATTTCAGAAGCACCTAGATAAAGTAATGGATATCCTGCAACATGCAATCCAGAACCTGCCTGAACCTATGGAACTCGACTCAAAGGTAATGATTGAAACAGATTTATTGATGAAGCAGGAGAAGCAAGACAATGCAGATAGTAATAATGATTCTTGTTATATTTTAGATAGGATAATGTGTAATATTGTTGATAATATGCAATGAAATAATAATGGTTTGCTGAATTTTGTGATAATAAAGATATATTTTTTCTATTTAGAGTTCTTTGTGGTCGAGTGGTTTCTTGGGCTTCTTTCTTTTTAGGACCATATTTTTCTGCCATATATAACGCAAAGTGGGGCCGTTTGATTTACTACATTCATATCTACAAAATTATAATGGTATCACTTATTTAAATAACTCATCTAAGTCACCTCAGATACCCTATGTATTCCTTATATAGAACATACAATTAAATTTCCTTTATAACCCATATGTTCTGTATAACTTTGGTCATTTATAAAAGTGAAGGATTCAATTGATAGGAACCTATTGTCTGATCTAAAACAAACATATATCATATATCCATTTTGGCTATACCAAATGGCGTCTGGGGAGCAGGATGACACATTTGTATTATAATGATTCAGATCTGGTATGTCACACTCTTCCATCGTAATTCAGTTTGTGCAATCATATATAAAAGTGTTTTACAAAAATTTATATGAGTTTCCCGTGAATGAAAAAAATGGAATGTAGAATAAATTCTTATGATATCCTTTTTCTTTGCATCGGGAAATTATAAAATAGGCTAATAATACATTCCCGACTGCAACTCTATAGTAAGCGGCAGGAATATTTAATTTAAATGGGAATCGATGCACTTATGTTTCTAACAAATGAGCTACTCAGAAACTATTCATTGATGCCTTGTGTGTTCGCGAAATCTAGTTAGCTTATGCGTGGGAACTAAAATTACGTATAGTTGTCACTCATATATCCACTTTTATCTATGTCTATCGTTAATTTAATTGCCGGATTTACAGCACAACATTGTATTATAATCTTGTCTGTTAAACGTAATTAAAAACAATAAGATTACAAGGAAGCCAAGGTCAGTAACTTTAACAAAATATCATTTGATTTCTAAACACGATTTGTAGCACGTGATGCATCGACAAAACTGCGTTTTTTCGCTGATAACAAATGTGTTGTTAGTGAAAATGTGATGATTATACGAGACACTAATGAGTTGTGGCTGATAAGCACATATCAAATTCCAAAGGTGATAAAATGTAATGATGTTACAGAAAAACTATATATTTTTTAGTTAGAAACACGCAACAAAAAATGAGTTATTTAGCAGTGGACAACCGAATACCAGGTAAGAAAATTAGCTTATGTATTCGATATTTATATATATATCAGGAACTTTTCTAAAAGTTGTTTATTAAAGGCTTATTTTTTCTCGTGTTTGAATTAAATGAATGTTTTCTGTTTTTTTCTGCTTTGATGTCTTAGACTGCCTACTTTTAGATAACATTTCGTCTTTTATCTAATTATTTCCTTTAGTTTAGGTCCTAGCTTTAGGTAGTAATTAGTTATATGACATTATGTTAAGTATGAATCGCCATTGGCAAGACTTCACCTTTTGTGGATGCACTTTATTTATTTATTTGTTACAATCAAGTCGATTGGATTAAATGTTTGTGACGTTGGCGTTTATAGTAAACAATAGGTGCAGAAGTACTATAGAAAAAATCACCAGTAGTATGTGGGTCTGCAACTAATTCTTGAGAAAATACATTTGGGTATGGCGTAATTTTTAACCAAAAATGTGGGGCGCGTCAAGTGTCAATTAGACTGCTTCTGCGTTTTTGTAAAATTTACGCAGGCAGAAATTTTAATCACCAACACCGAAAAGGTTTTTTGTCCTAATGGCTCTAGAGAAACTAAAATATGCAATTTTTCACAGTGTGTAAAGTGATCTAAGATGTGTAAATTATTGAAAGACACACGTATGGTGTTCATAATAGTAATTTTTATCATTTGGGATTTTTTCAGGTTATATACGAGATAAACTACTGATACTACGCAAACATGTGATGAAATGGTGTGCTGAAAGGCCACTAGCGGCTATTTTCATAGTAATTGTGTCAACAGTTATGGTGCTGCCTCTAATCACTGCTGCTGTATTAATGCCTATTGCAATTCTCATGGATTTCGGTTCCTATTTAGGAAATAAGGGTTTGTATCATATAAGAGTATCCCAGGAACCACTATCTGCTCAGAAAATATTCTGATTCGAATTTTCCCTTATTGTTATTCAAACAGAACCCCTTTTAACGACTCCGCATGCTCCCAAAACCAAAATAAGTCAAAGGGTGTTTGAAAATTTTTAGTAAACAAATAAAATATTTTTTCGCTCCTAGCTAGGTTTTTTTTTAGGTTTATGAACTCTTATCTAGAGATGTAAGTGATTTAATATTCGATAAATTGCAAAATGATCCATTTACGACCCCGAAAAAATGACAATTTTAAGGTTGTCAAAGTTCCCATCATCCATTTACTAAACTCCAAAGTATTTTTGGGTAATGATATTGTAAACTTTTATTTTTAAATTGATAAAGTGCGCATTCAATTTATATTCTGCGTGACGCGCGCTTGACGAACTATCAAAAAACGCCTTTGTTGGAGGTTTCAAAGAAAAGGGATGGGTTAAGTCTTTTCAAAAAGCATAAACGAATCGTGATTACGTAGGTTCACTTAGGTACGATGAATCTTCGATATCTGCATATCAACCTATATAAAGCAAATCTTATCATATTTCTGTTTCCATGGCATACGTAGAGAAAATATGTGCGACTTATTATGTCTAAAATAAGTGCATAGTATCACTGAGATCGGCAGCTTCTCAACAATAGACGGTCCACTGAAAATGCAACAATTTACAACCATTTAACGCATACAGCTTCCGACCTACAAATTTCATCCTCTCCAAACAATGACTGAAAATGAGCAGGAATCTCGTTGTAACACTATGTTAGCGGTCTTATTTTCATCGCCTCTGAATCAATTTCCAAAATTTACGACTACCTAAGCTATGGTAGTATTAAACTCGCGATAATATTCGCACTTCAGTTCACAAGTTTTCTATTGCTTAAAGATATCCGAATCACACAAGCCCGTCATTTAAGTACGTCGATTTGTCAGTCCGTGTCTGTTTGTATATCAATGCGTGGTAAGTACCGAGTCAATCTACTTGAAATATTCAGAGAACCATCATAATACAAATTAGGTTAGGCGAAATGGGTAGTACATTTAGGGATCATAAAAATCAGAAAAATATATGTGTCGATATGAAAGCAGTTAAAGTCATCATTCACAAAGCATCGCAGAACGCTAAAATAGTCCGCACTCTATTCATATATCAATCTAATATACAGGAATTCATTGCGAGAAGCCGATCTCTGCCGGTGAACTGGAGAAGAGAAGCATAGCAGCGAGTTCGTCTCTGACGAGAGACCTAGAGGTTATCACTGTTTGAGGACGCAGCAATCTTGTACAGTTTAATGCTTCCGAAACACAGTAGGGTATTGTCGGGAACAGTGGCTCACTTTTTTTCAGTTGACTCTAATATTCAGCGAGTCTTCACCAAATGGCTTGAAACTCGGCCAATGTGGGCAGAGGTTATGAAATTTTTATCCTGTGCCATCGAAATGTCCACAAAGGGTGCCAAAAAACAACCAATAATGATTTTGTAAAAAATTAGAAATGAGCCACTGTGCACAGGTAGGGTGCTACAGTGACACACCCCAGTGGTCCACAGTGGTTCTAACAGTACACAGAGACTCAAGACAAACCGAGTTAATCAAAAGTACGGGAATGCTGTTGAAATCTTGATTTCTGAGTCACATTTGAATATCTCGGAAAAAACACTGATCAAAATAAACTTATTCCCATTACTATATTAAAAAACAAAATGAGCGCATCGTAGCTGTTAACATTGAAATAATCAAAATCACACATACATCAGACTCCTATTTGCCTTACAAAACACTGAAGAACTTCTACTTTAATAAGTCTCATCGTAAGCATAAATAATAACAATAATAATAATCAGCAAGCAAATAAAATTAAGTCTTCTACTTAACTTACAAATGTACACATTACTTTGTAAGTATTCTTTTGTACTTATAATGTTAAAAAAAACTTTTATTACAATCAGAGACAAAAACCAATCTTACTCCTTAAGCTCATCGAATGATGAAAGTTTGTAGAACAAGTCAAAAATAAAAATTAATAACTCCATAACCCTTATACCTCTTAGCATATCCGAAGTTGGGATAAATCTAGTCCAAAATTATAGTACGGCCTAGAAGAAGTGCCAACAATTGAAGGCTTTGGCAGAAGTAATTTCAAATCACTTTCTTTTATAACAGAAAGGTCAGGCTTATCAGGCATGTGAAATTTGCTAGTACCAGGCGTACGCCTCAGAAATGATATGTAGAATTCATAATTCTCATTTCTACCTTATATCACCTTTCCAACGTAAAGCGATGTAAGTTTTTTTGTTGTAAATTGTACAATCACATATTCGCCCTCTAGTGGCGCACGAGTTAGAGATTTGGTTAGGTGCCTTTCAGTTATAATCACTGATTCTTCGTCAGAGTTTTCGTCTTCATCTTCTGCTGCCCAGTCTGTATCATCATCAGATTCAGCATATTGCACTGTTTCCTTCTCTTGATCATTATCTTCTTCATCACTTTGTAATACTTTTCGAATGACTTTTCCCTTCTTATTAGTGTTTTTACTTTTAGCAGCTATTTTTTCTTGTTCTAGACGAACTTTTTCCGGTGTGTCAGTAAGAATCATGCTACGGCCTGGTTTCCTTCGCTTGCGGGTAGTTGTTCTAGGTCCAGCCTTTATTGGGTCTCTTAACTCAAACGGAGATGTAAAAGTATTCTCAGCTGATTGAGAAATGGATGGTGTCAAAGCAATGTCTTGTGTCGGGGTAATTATATATGGCTTGGGTGGAAGTTTGTTCGAAGAAATTGCTGATATGAGCACTTCAGGAGCTAATATTTTTAATGACTGGAGTCCTGATGGAACTGAAACGGTATTGGATACTTTTGTTTTTGTCAAAATTGAATCTTCATCGGACAGGTTCTTCGTTTCCACTTCTTTAGAAATGGATTGATGGTTGATAGACACAACAGTGGTTTCAATTTGACTTGGTTGTGTCGTCGAAGTACCCAACGTTGGTGAGCATGGTTTTTCTGATGTTGCACAAGTCTGTGAAATAGAATGCTCCGATGAGTACGCAGTAGTGGTCTCTTCCGGTGCTCCCAACTCGATGACATTCATTGAATTGATGTTTAGGTTTATGAGCCCTTCTTCACGTGGCAAACAGTCTGAACAGGGACCTGGACGATCTGTTACTGTACTTGGCAGAAAGTCCTTGTCTGTAAAAAGGTTTCTGTCGAATGGGTAAATACCACATTTTGCAAAAGCCCTGGTAATGTTTGTTGGGGTCATTGCTTTAAGAAAGGCTGCCCCAATGATTTCACCTAAGTCATATATGGTAACAGGCTTTCCAGGATGTGTCATAAGCCAGGAATCGATGCCAGCATTATAATATACTTTGAACGCGCTAAATACTCCCACGTCAAGTGGTTGTAATTTCCCCGAAGTGTGGGGATGAATAGTGAGGAGATTGGAGATTGACTCCACAATCTTTTGCCAACTGTATGGCTTCAATGCTCAAATGTGACTCGTGGTTATCCATTACCAACATACTAGGATTTTCTTTGCAAGAGTTCGTATGCTTGATAAAATGTTTCATTACTTCTGTGAAACTATCCGCGTTCATCCATCCACTAGGCGTTGCTAAGCCGAGTGTTCCTGCAGGTGTGTTTTTGATCATATGATCTTTGAATTTTTTCCTAGGAAATATCATAACTGGTGGCAAAGCGTTGCCGCTGGCACTTACAATGCAGCATGTGGTTACCAAAGTTCCTCTCTCACCACTTGTGACTTTTCCAATGCATTTTCTGCCTAATGGTGCTATTACTTTTTGAGGCTTTTGCACTGTTGTCGTTGATGTTTCATCCAGATTAAATATACGGGTACCATTTGCAAAAGCCGAGTTTCTCTTGATCAGATCTTCTAAATTATTGTAAAAATTATTGACGTTGTTTCGGTTGAAGGCTGTAGCTCTTGCTAGGCTACAAGGTTCTGGTCTCCTGGAAGAAAACCTGTTCCTACGTTTGAACAAAGTTAACCAGTCCTTACCCGCCATTTCATTGTCTGTCCAAGATTTAGGCATCTTTATATTATTTAGCTTAGCACATTGATACGCCACTTGACGACATTCTCTTGCAGTTAATCCGTAAAACAGAAGAGCGCAATGCGAAAAATATTCCTTCAACTTCTCTTCTTGGGATGCGGTAAAGATCTGGTTCACAGAATAATTCGGCTCGAATCGCTCCTCATCGAGATTTTCGGAACCAGCAGTTTTCCAATAATACCTCTTCAGGGTAGTAAATGGCACACCACAACTCGTAGCTGCTTTTCTGATAGACATACCCTGCCTTATTAATAGTACCCCAGCTTTAACGTCTGCAGCGGAGCTGTTGCCAATTTTTCTCATTGCCCGTTTCTTGCGAGGCATTCTGAAACAAATATTCAAGTAAGCGGTACACAATGGTTCACTAATAGTACACAGTGGCTCGTGAACCACTGTGTACTTCCACGTGCTGAGCCACTGTCGACCGTGACGCCATTTTGAAATATATGTCTTCTGTGCCATATTCACGTTGCACTGGCTGTTCTAAGCAAAGTTAAAATTATCTTGCTTCTACTTACTTTACTACAAAATATAAATAAATAATAAACTACAGCAATTAAGCTAGAATTTTAAAGTCAAACTTACCTGGAAATGTAATTTTGGGTACCTGAAAACCAACACAAAGGCGAGACGCGTGCTATCAGTGCTTTAGTTGCTGACCGACTGGTTCATGCGCATTTGTGTCGTAAACACTTGATGTAGATGACTGCGACAGATAGATAGTCTCTCTCGTTTTGGAGATATTGAATGGAGCCACTGTACCCGACTGAGCCACTGTTCCCGACAATACCCTACTGTAACTTGACGAACAAGCAGCGTCCTAGCGCTCATCCGGTTTTGACGGATAGCCGAGTTCCACTAAAGAGCCGTTCATTTCAGCTAGTCGGAGTCCATATGA